TAGAGCGTCAGATAAAACTACTGCTTTGCCACACTAGACTTGGGAAGGGAAGGTATAGACGCAAGAGCGTCTTACGCTTGTTTTCCGAAGTGAATAAAAAAGCCCCAGGTGTAGACTACGTTATAACGTTTGAGGTAACCATTGCTACCTACAACGGGAAGTTTGTATGGTGGATCTACCAATGTCTCGTCGATGTCGATATCAAATATAAGAAAGATGGTAAGGATGTCGACTATAAGAAGAAGATCATCATCTTTCGAGAGACGTCCAAGAGATGAGCATCATTTTTCTTGTCATTATGATAATAACGTTGCCAGCGTTCAGTCCCATCAATAAAAACCTTCGTTATTCTTCATCATCAGTATGGTCAGTCAATATTTCCATTTGTAGTCTCATCGATGCTCGAGCTGTCTCCAGCAGATCTGTCCTGATCTCGTCAACAGGACCATGTTAGTCAACATCTTTCATCCGAGTACAGTAGACAATTTTCTGCATACGTACTTGTTCGTCTGTGCGCTGTACTTGAGTACACTGCACGCGTAAACACAGTCCTGCCTTCGCCTTACGATCGGTACGATTGCTTCTGACAGTCTACACTGTACGTCCCTAACCCATAAGATCCCCTTGTGTTACACCAGTTACGGGACACATGTATATGCGTAAAAGGATTATTACGTGTAAGAGTACTCTTGCCAACCGTGTCGGGCGCTGCGCAAGTATTATATGATGCCTGCATCCATCTCTGGGATTGCGTTGCCACAGTCACTCGCATCGACTATTTTTAGTGTCAATCGGCGACTCAATCATGACTGCTAGTATATACGACCACACTAGGATCGTTAGCACCCATGCCCCGTCTCTGGTTGTCCTGGTGTCAATGTGGATAGAAGAAGCATATGCTTCATAACGAAGAAGTACTTTCGATGAGTCGAATCATCATGGCCGTCATTCAATGAACGGTTCAACTTGGACGCGCGAGGCGGCTGAAGGTCAGCTCAAGCCGCAAGAAGGGCCGAAAACCAGTGAAGAATAACGCATACAGCCATCTCGGCCAGCCTTGCGGTTGCGTACAACTCAAGTGGCTGACCGGTTTCCCTGCTCCGCAGCTCGCCCCTTTTTCCCATTATCTGAGCTTAGCAGCTGGATTTTGCTGGCTGTTATATGTTGACTGTTGTTATGATGATGACTGTTGTTGTTCAATATGGCGGTAGCCCAAGGAGTTCTTTGGATGAATTGTGCGTGACGAAACGGCTGGCGTGACTACCCAGTAGCTGCAGCCACGTAACATGTGATCGGCATTTCCTTTCATAGAAGCAGTCTCGAATGCTCACTACTAGTGAGTCACTAGTCTAGATCGAAGCCGAGAAAATACCATGGAACTCTGATGAGGTCATTAGATCGTCGCAAGAACCTCTCCTGGTGAGATTACACGTGTTCTATCACCAAAAAAGGCATACGGAGACGCTTCTCAACTTGAGAATCTCAAGTACCTCTTGATTCCCCACACGACCGATGTCGAGTTGAAATATAAGCAAAGGGATAAATCGACATCTCACTGATAATCACTCAATGAGTTTCGAACCGAGAATTCGCAAGGTGCGGCTGACCCGAGGCAACCGATTGAATGGGTCTGATTCTGGGAAGACCTTCATTGATCCCTGTTGGTTGCATCACTCATCCGTAGGCGAGAAACACGACCGTATTTTTTAGTTATCATTAACCACCCTTCTCGTCAGCATTCGCCGCATGATAGCAATTCCACGATGGACCACTT